AGCAGCTGCTGTCCCTTCTCCTTGGCATCAGTTCTGGGAAGCCAAAAGCACAATCCAACCATTTCCCTTGGTGCAATCGTGTTTACTTAAACAGAACACGCTTGTTCCTTTTACCTTGGGCACAGCAGGGACAATCACTGCAGGAACATTGCTTACACACCAGTTCTCAGCCTGCCATTCCAGATAGAGCTGTGGCTCCAGGGGATTCTGTCCTTGCTCACTCAGCAGGGCCACCCTCCAAAATCTCTCCCCTTTGCCCCAGGCAGGGCACAAGGGAAATTCGTGCCTGGGACTGAGCACACTGGGGGCAGAGGCTGTGGTGGGGCAGGGATAGGGCTTCACTGACTATCAGGCAGGGATGTCCCAATGGCCCCTGGCTGTGTTGTAACACTGTTTAGTTCATAAGGAAATATTTACCTTAAGAAGTTGTATATGTGCTCCAGGAAAATGTTTTATTGTGGGATGATTTGAACCTTGCCAGGTGTGGCCAGAAATACTCCACCACGAAGGCACACATGGAAACATTGCCTTTACCAGCCCAAGCAGCCACCTCCACTCCTGGGAGTGCTGGCACGGGGCTGTACTCACTCCCTCCCTGCCACAGGGTCACTCACATGTCCAGCTGTCTGTCCATCTGTCTACCCACCCATCCATCATTCTGACAAATCCCGCCTTTCCCTCCAGCACAGAATCCTTGTTCCCTGACCAAAGCCCTGTCCCCAGCCATGCCCTTGGGGATGCAGAGTGCTGTGGCTGGGCTCAGCCTACTGCAGGGCCTGCTCTTCACAGGGCCAAGATGCTGCTGTGGCAGAGAGAGACCAAGGTCCTGCTCCTCTGAACCCCCTGGGGCTGTGAACTGCCAGTCAGTGTTGGAGCCACTGCAAAACAGTGGAGCAGGGTGAGGACTTGTGCCATTCCTTCCCTGTCAGCCATGCTCCCTTTGCCAAGCAGGTGATTGCTGTGCCCCCTCATCCCACGGTCTGATCTGGGCTCATCGCATGAGCTGTTCCCTCTCCAGCAACAGTAACATGGCCCCGTGTGCCAAATCAGCCTCTCAGTGAGTGTTGGGTAGCTGCCCAGCCCCAGCCCAGCCCCACTGTGTGGGCAGTGGGCACACAGGATGTGTGGCTTGTGGCTCGTGGCACGGGCAGGGCAGCAACCAGTGCTGCCTCCAGCCCTGTGCCCTGTGGGAACACATTGCCATCAGGAGCCAGGGCTGCTGGAGGCAGGCGTGGGGCAGGGGAACCTCATGTTCCTCCACCAAACAAGCCCAGAGAAGGAGGAGAACCCATGAGAAGCCTCAATGTGAACTCCCCTCCCCTGGAGCGTTCCCTGCCGCTGCTGGCAAACAGCAGCAAACCTTCCGCCGTGTTCCCAAACCAGGGAACGCCCACTGGACACGACTGTACAGACCTGGGGGAAGGCCACGGCACGAACCACCATGTGCCTGAAACATGGAGCCTTCTGCAGAAAACCACAGCAAACAGGGTGACTTCAGCGGGAGGAAGGTGTGCGCAGCCTCAAGTAAAATTTTGTGTGCGGTCTGGTGCTCTCTGAAAGGGAAAAGAGTCTCCAGACCTGTATTCTTCAGGAGTGCTGTGGAGCGTCAGTAATAAGTCATCTTTGGCAGGCATATGTGAACAGCATCCGGGGAGGGAGAATTTCATCAGAGCAGAGAAATCCTTCCAGCCTGCCTTTGGTACATCTCCAGCCAGCCTGAAATATCCCTAAAGGCTCTGCTCCCTCCTTTCCTCAGAGCCATCCTGACCCTGTCTTGGGCAAGGTACCCAATTTACATGTTCCTGGGCCACTGGTTTGTAATATTTATTTATTTTTATACGGGGTTTTGCAATTTAAGGGGTTTAGAAGGGTATTTGCCAAGCAAAATGGGCATTTGCCTGGCAAAAGGCTGCCTCAGTTACAGCGATTTCCTTCCCTGCCCTACTAGTGAAGTAGGGCTGTGTTACTGCCTGGATGCCAGTTGCAAGCAAGCCCCACAGGATGTACTTTTACCCAGTAATTAATTACCTAGCACTTACCTAATTAACCAGAGTTTCCACCTACCATTCCCAGAGGCCAACAGCAAATGCCAGATTCTGCCCCTCCCACCACTGCCTAAAATATCTTCCAGTGCCACATCTGTTGTTGGGACAGGCAGCAGGACCAGTATCTCCAGTCTCCTCCCGCTCCTGAGGGAGCACCACAGCCCTCTCACAGCCCTGGGAGCACTCTGGCTCCCCCTGATCTGGAGCAAGGCTGACCCAGCACCCCTGACCACACACCGTCCTGACGGGCTCCTGGGCTGCAGTGGGGCTGTGGGGACAGCGAGAGCAAACACTGCTGGCTGGGCACTGCTTAGAGTGAAGTCAGGAGCTGTTCTGAGCTGGGCTGGAGGTTGGCTACAGCCCAAACTCTGTCTTTGTGCACCCCAAAACTCAGGGAAGTTTGGATTTGCACCGACTGGGGCCAGAGAACGGCACGGCCAGCAGTGGTGTCTGGGGCACCAGTGGTGTCCAGGGCACCAGTGCCCCTTGGTCCCCAGGGCCCAGAGGGGCACAGCTGAGGGTGGGAGCACAGTGACAGCCAGCTCAGACAAACCCTGTCACCCCGGGGTGCACATGTGTCTGCCCTGCCGGCCGGAGGGCACACAGTCCCTGCCCCGAGGCCAGCAGGTCACCGGCCCCAGCACCGCCAGTCGAGGCCACTGGTGACGCACTGGCCCAAAGAGCCCGTCTGGGAGGAGCCTTGGCACCCGAGGGGCCGCGGGGACCGGACAAAGGGGACAGGCCACTGCTGACCTGGGGAGCCACACAAAGCACGGGAGGTATTTAAGCCCCTGCAGAGCCCCCTGAAACCTCTTTTGAGCTCCAAACCCCGAGGGCTGAGGACACGGGGTGGTTTCCTTACCTTTTCAGCAGGGGATCACTTTCAGCTGACTCTGGTAGAGCCACTATGACTGAAACAACAGGTTACTCAGGGTGAGTAACAGGGGAATGTTTGAATTTGTTTTAATCAGACAAGAAAAATGTTCTTTGGGTTTTGTTTAAGCCTCATTTATAAAACCTACCTGCATTGTTATTTAGTTTTTTCCCATCTCTTACAGCAGGTGGGAAGGGACAGCAAACCAGCCTCCTGCTGCCTGCAAAGTCTGGATTTAACTTGCACCCATCCTACCAGGCAGTTATTTGGGACAATACAAGTGTGAAACCTTGATTTGCTAAGAGCTTAATAAGCTGTCACATATACA